TTTAAATCTAAGAAGGCAACAGCATTGATCAATCCATGGTCTATATTAAGAGCCCAGCTATCAGTTGCCTCGAGTAGAGCCGTAACCGTCGAGTGTGATGAACGGAAACCGAACTGATGTTTGGAAAGAAGATTATACCTCGTAAGATGGACATGCAGTTGATCATAGATTATCCGCTCAAAAACTTTTGCTACCACAGGAATTACTGAAATGGGGCGATAATTGGATGGATCATTGCGCTTGCCCGAATTTTTGTAGAGAGGGGAGACTCTAGCATTTTTCCAAGGCCCAGACTAATGTAAAAACAATTTTTTACATTAGGCCCAGACTAATGTAAAAACAATTGTGTTACCAGGTTAACAAGTGCTATTAACATACTCTTAATAGCGACAGACACAAGGTCATTATGTCGTTTTTACTTGGTCGGTGTCCAAGCCCCTCTCTTCTAAAGTAACAGCCACTTCGTCCTCATTTTCTTCGTCGGAGTCGACTGGCTCAGTTTCAGCCTCTGTGAGGTATGATTTCTTGGTCAGAGTCCTTAGGATAAGATTGCGAATCACTTCTCGTCTCTGTGAGATGGCAAAAGATAACGAGAACCAATTTGATTAATCACATAAATATAGTCGGGACGAGTAACGAACTAAAGGCCTATTTCTCGAAAGTTCCGTAAGTCTCAAGTCCCGGAAAGCTACTCGTAGCGTTTACATTTATGATCGATTTAATGATAGTTTTGAAATTCAAACGATCAGGAAACATGATAGAAAGGATAAGTTTGAGGTAAGACCAAAAGTCCTTTTTTTCCTAAATTTACTTTTTGAATGTTGCCCCGGGCGCGTGAGGTTGCTGGGAACATCGAGAAATGGGCCACAGGTTCTCTAAATCTAGAAAAAAACATGTCTGTTTGTTTCTAAAAATTGCGCTCTTCAACGAGGGAGTAAACGACCGTTTTTCTTTCAATGATTGCAATCGACAAGGAGAAACAGACATGAAAACGAACAATGACCGTAGACCATTTACAAAAATATATCGTCACTTTCATCTTTCTTTACTGATAAAACCCAACTGTTTAACCTGTCAGCTATAAGTCGGTGTTAAATTACTGAGCTCCTAACGCTTAATCCTTAACATGCGCAGGAGAATTTCTTCTTACCTCTTTCTCTTTAATTCTGCCAACTTTCCGGGTGATTTTTTGTTCCTTTTTCAAACGTCGTTTTCAAAATAAAAGAGACAGAAGGAAACAATAGCATTTTAGATTGTGTTAAAAAAAAAAAAAAAAAAAAAAAAAAAAAAAAAAGGAAGGTGGCAGCAAATGTAAACTGGATTTTTTAGCTCTCTTTTGATTTTAAGCTGACGCGTACGCTTACCATAATTGTAGATTATGGTATATTGGCTGATATATCATAATGGCTAAGCCAATAAAGTCTTGAATTGCATTATCCAATGATCCAGTTTTTAATAATATATCTTATACTATATTGTAGATACACAACTCAGCTTAGCGGCTGCAAGCTTTTTACAAATAAACTATCTATCTATCTATCTATCTATCTATCTTCATTGTGCGTATGTATTTTGATTCCAACTTGGAATCAGTCGATGAGCGTAAAAAACACTGTACTTTTTTTTCTTAGAGAGCGGTTTTCTCTGTGGTGCCACTTCTTTTAACCGAAATTTCAAATGAGCACCCGGGCATTTATTCGAGAAAATAAAGTATATTAATTTCTTTAACATTTAACAATTATGATAAGGCCTCGGAGTCATTGTAACGTAATGTAATGTTTATAACGTTAGTTTTCCTTCGAACAGGCAAGTTATAGAGTTGGGCTTTACCTGATATGTTTTTGCTTCCAGGATCCTCCGTGGCCGTAACCTATCAAAGCAGGATATCTTTAAGGAACTAACCTCACTCAATAAAATTCGCTAGATTTAGAAATAGATTTAACCAACACCATGTTAATGACATAAATCATACTTTCTCAGGCAGAGCCGAACCGAAAGCTTACAAAGGCGCCTCTGGCAGCCGCTATACGGTCCATGTGTGATCTTGGAGCACAGCTTACAGTGAGGGAGGAAACCGGAAAACCGGGAGAAAAACCCTTCAAGCAGAGAAGAGAACCAACACAAACTCAACCCACTTATGGCATCGGGTCCGGGAATCGAACCCGGGCCACATTGGTGGGAGGCGAGTTCTCTCACCACAACGCCATCCCTGTCTAACAATAAGTTACATTAGCACATTCAGCTTAACATTTAAATTAAAAGGAGGAAAAGGGAAATGGCTTTTTGGTTATTCAGATCGGAACTCAAAACGAAAAAAAAAAATCACATGAGTAACTGGATAATTTAACAGGTCAGTTTTAGTTTAAGTGTTACTGAAACATCTTAAGGTGTCAATAAATGTTATTGATATCTGGGTGGTTTCTTCATTGCGCCATTAATTTTGCCTTAAACCCAATTTAGGAGGAAACTCTCTCTATGTTGCTCAGTGTAATAAATTAGTAGTTTAACTCACCAAGGCCCTCTCCGAGCAGCAAGCTGAGACAAGACGCTGAAAAAAGCTTACAATGGGGACAAACAGATATACCAAGTTAAAAGGAGGCGGAAGAACCCCCTTCTTGGAAATCCAGTTTAACCACATTCTGGTTCTTGTTAACTTCCATTCAGCATCCAAGTTGGCCTGTCAGAAAACGAAGTGTCGAATCATTATCTGAGAAGTTACGCGAATGACTTAAACAGAATGAATTATCAGTGATTTTGTCGGTACAATACTGGAAACTTGCTCGAACCAATGAGAACTAACACCATTTGTGACAGTAATAAATTTATCAATTTTTTTAAGAGTAAAGCTTACTGTTATCTGGACGTAAGAGTCGTTGAGTATCGCGATCAGCATATTGAGGGCTACCAGAACCGCTGTGATGTTAAACGCACCAAACAAGGTCATTCCAGTTCTCCAAATGACGCCATACTCAGCCTCAGAAATTTTAAAACTGCTAGGGTCTATCTGACCAAATAGTGACCAAAAGATTGTATTCGTGCTGTCTAAAATACTGCAAGACAGAAAGTACACATTTGAATTATCAAACAGCAAGAGAAGATATATCCTCTCTTTTCGAACAGCTAATAAGTTCCATAATATCCATATAATGGTTAAGAAATTTCAAAATACGTACCGTTAAATTATTTGAGACTGACTGCTAAAATTAGTTATTTCTTCTGTTCTAACCAAGATGAAAATTTGACGAACTTTTCTTTTTTTTCGTTGTTTTCATTTTCAAATAATATCAAAACAAGTCAAACACAGCGAACATGTTCGGATATTTCCGGTTGGTATCCGAAGAAGCAAAAGAAAGTGAAAGATTTCACGTGTTAGATCAGCAGCAAAAAATTCTATGCACGTAGCACGTGCTGAAGAACTAGGGTTTTTTTTTTGTCCCTTCTTTGACTTGCCGAAGTAACCAAGTTGGCATGAAGCACGACACAAACCACTTAGACTCACCTTTCAAGATGAAGAGGATCTGTTTGATTCGAATCAGCTGAACTGTTATGGAAATGCTGTCTGGCCTTGGCATACTGTAGGTAGAGCTTGGTGAAGCTCACCACAAACGCGAGAAAGACAAATATAAAGTAAAAGAAAAATTTCATCACATCGAACATCATTCTCATAAAAGCTTGCAGTAGAGGACCAATAGTCGAGTTGGACTGGATAAAGGCCAGATTTTGGGTAAAGGCCAGAAGTATTGCCACTGCAAAGAGACAGTCTGAGACCAAGACGATCGTGTACGAAAAGTCGTCGGCGTGGTTGGCCCACGTCATAGTTTCCAGTTTCTTTATAAGGACTGAGCGGCCGGACCACCAAAGGATGTAATGAAGAATGAATGACAACACTGTTGCAACAGCCAGGTAGTTCCAGTAGCTGGAAAAGAAACGGACTCTTCCCACGTGGTAGAATTGTTTGACGAGATCTACTATATGTCCGAGCACAAACAACAAAATCAGCCAATCTGTGTAACGAGAAGGAATTGTCAAGTCACCAAGACATACATTTAACAGGGAGGCTTGTGATGACGTAACAAAGTTTTGTATAGGAAAGTGTGTGCAGTTTCGTGTGACTAAAACTGCACTATCATATTGAACACATCAAGTCACGGTGTGACTTGCTAAAGTTCCACCTGAGGTTTAGTTAGTGGCTGAAATGTCATTATGCCGTAAATCGCGAAGTGCTTATTGGAATTGTTTATTGCCGTTGAATCGTTTTAGCGTTTTCGAGGTTTTTTTGGAGTGACACGGAGTCAGTATTTACAGAGGCATTGTCCTATTGAGGTCACTTGTAGAGAGGTCCTGCTACCTCATACTTAGTGGCCAAAGATAACCAAAGATTGCGGTCGGGCAAATTACTGCTCGACGCCGGCTGTTTACCAATATCAATCTTGGAATTTAAGCAAGAAAAGCTAAAATAATGACATCCAGATGTAAACTTACAAAATTATATATATCTCTTCCCCATCACTCACCCGTTATGGCGTACTGTAGAAAATTGCTCTGAAACGCGAATGAAGACAAAAACAGCATGAAAAGAAATGTCTGATAGGAACCACAATGAACAAGGAACTTTACGCAGGGAGAGTGAAACATTCTTGACATCTCGTGCTTGGGAAAAAAAGTGTCTAACACCAACCAAGCCATGAAGAATAGAGGATACCAGACAAAAGCCAGTAGTATCAAGACAAACTGCTTCCACGAACTTTTTTCCAAGAATGGGACATCTCTGTATATTTCAGAATTTAACACAAGTTGGCTGTAAGGATGGCTGACGAACTGCAAATGCAAAGGGTAAAACGTTCCTTTAATTCTTGTCCAATAGGTTTTTGCAGCCCTGTAAACCCAATTAGTTCCGGAGGATTTAGTCAAGTAATGCTTAACGAAGCGTTGGGTTTTTACGAAGACATCAAGACTTACTGAAATCCCTCGAATCTTTTTCCATAATGTTAAAGTAAAACTTTCTTGGTAATTGTAGACATCGTTATGTTTCCTTTGCTGTTACGTCCAATTAGCATTCTGAGTCCACTAAAAAATGCAACTTTTTACTTGGTGTCCCTAAAAGTGCAACTTTTTACTTGGTGTAAATTAGAACTGAACATGACAGAGGAACTGTCGAAATATGTTTTTTTTAAATTAAATATGTTGTGTATTTTCTTAAAATCTCTTGAATAAAAGAAATTTTCGCAACCATTCGATACGTGGTCGTGTAGGCGCTGGCCATAGAACGACGAACGTCATGCAATCGTTACTCGACTGGTGTCTTTATTCATGCGCGAAACAGCCGGTGACTTGCGTATAGTCTAACAAATGAATCGCCTTCAACATTGTCAGCCATGTGTTCAGGATTATTAGAGCTGCATCAATTTATAAAAGAGCAGCATTCAGTCCTCGCTGGCCTGAGACAAAGGCTGATCATAGAAGCGCCGTGTGCATGCGTTTAAAGATTATCGCCCTGGGGATAGTAGTCTTGCGCCCGGAACAATTTTAAAAATATTTAATTAAATTGATTGAGATAGCCTATAATTGTGCACTGCAGTTACCTTACAACTCAGAAAAAATACCTTTTCATTTTCGGTGACGGTGGCAAACTCCAGAATGTTCAGACTGAGCTTTCCTTGGACGTATGGTAGCGCGTTATCTTCGCTCTGCATCTCCATAACACACCTGATCTCTTTCATTGAACGGCATTCATTCAAAAGATCCACGGCGAATTCTTTACAACCATCGCTGAGATCCAAATACTCTTTTCTGAACTCATACTCCTGCTCAGCAATGTCAGACAGTTTCTTGTTAAGAACGCATGCGCGATGAACAGGATCCGGACCACTGAACGGGTTTTTTAGAAATGAAGCTGCAAGGTATACAGGACTTGCAAGAGCTCGATATCTGTTCAATCGGAGCATGGCAGGCCCCAGCTTCTCGCTGACGACTTCAATAGGGCGTTGAGAATCACTTTGCAAATCAGAAATGGTAAATCCGTGCTCTAGAAGAAGCTTCACAATTTGGAAATTCTGCAAACAAGCCGCCAGGATCAGTGGTGTCATGTGAAGCTCGTGTTTTGAATACTTCCTGATGCATGAAGACAATGGCGGAGAAATTTTCAGCAACGGGGGACCATAGAATTTCAGCAAAATTTCCAAGCTTCTGACGTCATCATCACGCACAGCGTACAACAAGGCTAGATCCAGGTCGGCTCCTCCGCTCAACAGGATCTTGATCATGTCGCTCCGGACAGAAGTATCTTCCACATCTACCGCCTCTTGTAAGAATGTTTTGCCAGATTTGTTGACACAATTGAGGTCGCATTTTGGTTGGGAATAGTCAAGAATACTTCTGAATTTTTCCAGATCTCCTTTTTTTATGGCTGTAAAGAGCTTTCTTTCGAGCTTGTGTAACGGTTGAGAGACACCATCAACTGTACTGAACCCTTGCAGGAAAATGTCTGTCGCATCCAACATGGTTATAAGTTAGCTCTCGCTTTGTACCTGGCAAAAACTTTCGGTCACCTTCGGTAGAAGTGACGTGGTCAGTCTATGGAGTTAAACCCAGGCCACATAACGATCAGTATTTAATGCCAACCTGGGTAATATCCTTGAATGAGTAAGAAAGGCCCACCTGCCCCTTAACAATAAGCAATTATTGTATGAGGTTGAGCATTATATCGTGAGCATTATATCGTGAATTAAGACACGAGGTTTTGATAATTCACGCTATCATGCGAAAACCAAATTCAGTAATTCTTCTATTATACTTTCCAAAAAAATTTGCAAACGAAGACGCTTAGCTGATTCGCACACGCATCGAGCGGCTTTTGTGATCTGCCATGTATGAAAAGTTTTTTATTTCGCCGCTTTAAATCAACATACTTCGCTGGAAATACTTTGTTCACCTCGATGAATTTTGGGTTTTTGATCGATAATGTCAGTCCCCTTTGCCAGGAAATGCCTGTTTAGTCAAAATCGTAAAGAAGACACGTATCTCTTCGAGTACGGGCTGCCATCACATTTTTTTAACGCCCGCTTAGACTTCTTCAGAACGCTGGCCAAAGCAGTTTTACCTTGCGATTCAAAATGTGGCTCAAATTTTCATTCGTAATTTTTATACTTGTTTTTGTTGTCCTCTTCGGAAACAGAGGCGAAGCGTTTAGCCATTACAATTTTGACAACACTACACGGACGAGGGGCTTGAAAACTAGGAAAACTTTGAACCCGACCGGCATAACCAAATGTCTGCTGCAAATGTTGGGATGATTTTCATGTCAACTTCACATGCTACTGAATTTTGACTGAATGCTTTCGATCAATCAGATGTTTCATAGTAAGTCTAATGTATAATAACTCCAGTTAGCGGGGATGGTATTGTAATAAATCATTACCTCCTGAGATCTGAGTCGCAATTCTCATGTTGTCGAGCCTTTTCTTACAAAGTATATGGGAGAATTTAGTTGTTATTTTTCCTAATCACCTGATTTGCTGCTAATGTATTGATATTGTCAAGAGAATACAAATAGTTTAAACTTTCACTAATTTGGTTATACTTAGCCAAACGTTAAAGGGTTGGTGCAAGTCGAAAGAACAGTTCAGTGAAAACCGACAACCATGAACATGCTTTAAGACGACTTTAGTAAATTTTAAAGCTATCCTTCACAAAATAATGATTAATGCTAATATATTAAATTCTGCGAACTTCAGTAACGTTGAACAACAGCCACTCATAAGATCCTTCTGTACCGCTTTCGCATATAGCAGCGAAGCATTACCCCGACAACCAGAACTGATTTAAACCATAGTTAGTAGAGCTTCAATTATAGCATCAAAATCGTCTCCAAACAGAAAATCAGTACTAGAAGTCCCTACCGACGCCATGTTTGTTTGGTGTTGCGTGCAGGGTCGCGGTCACGTGACGGTACTTTCAACATAAAAACACGAACAATAGGCTCACTCTTAGAAGTTCGCCGGCTTTCCTAACCAGTCCCCCTCTACTAACTATGTTTAAACCGGCGATCAGTCGATCGGTCGAGACAACTTGAGCAACCAATCAGCGGCCACATTGATCGTGAATTGATCGTTTCTTAGCACTCAAGACTGCTTACAGGTTCTATCTAATCCTTGTTATAAATACCTTCGTCCCCATTAACACGTTGTACAACGTAGATCACTGTTAATTAAACGCTTCCATGTCCTTGCAATCTCCCAAGGACTATTAGGATGAAAAAATTAACAACTATTTTAAACCCCTTGGGACAGTGCATTTTCATTTGATCAAGTGGTCGATTTGTGGTCCCACTAGGCAAGTCTTTACAAGCAAGCACTTTATGATCATATGCCTATACGCAAAATTCATTTGCGCTTCAACGAGCTATCATGGGTAACCTAATTATACAGCGTTAAATGCGTTGTAAAATTCGACTATACAAGAAATTCCGTCGTTTCTCATGCAAATGTCCAAACTTTGTCAGCCCAGTATAACAAGGTAACCAAATTAAAAAGAATAGCTGTACGCAGGGCTCCTGCTGTACGTAAATTTTGCACTAAGGCCTCTATAAACAGCCCAAACCAATGTCAAATGTCAATGTAGAGCAATTATAGTATATTAGCTCTTTTGTAAATATTTCGCTCTCCTACCTTGTCTCTCCGTACTGGAATAACTTGAATAACTCAATCAAACAGAACTCTATCTCCAGATTTCCAAGGAAATTAAGTCATACTGATTTTAAAGGGTGCCTCTGTCACAGCCTATGGATTTCATTGATCATTTTTATTCTTATATACTTTTAATATTCTAATGTATTTATACACTCTATTAGGATCCCGTCAGCTATTTTATATTTAACCTTATACATTCTAGGTTTTTTTACCTAGTTTTCATGCTCATTTTTCTTCTTTTTTTTTTTCGTCGCCGGAGCGTTTTATACAGGAGCCTCGTTGCTCGGAAGATTGGGCGACCACCTTCTCCGTCATCGACCCGAAATGAATTATGACAAATTATTACACTGCATTCCGACAGGATGTCCTCCTTACTTTATTGTTGTTGTTTTTTTTTTTGGATACATGATCGAAAAGCACTGTAAATGCATTTTTAATTTATGTCTTCAGTCGTCGTCTTGACTAGCTTAACTCCCCAAAACTTCCTTTGCACAAAATAAATAAAACCTAAAGTCTAATCGCCATCACACATCTTTATCAAACTTTGCATGAATTCTGTTAACTACGAATTATGAAGCGGTTATAATCTTGCAGTTCTGTTTCTGTCTCCGTCAGCGTAGAAAAGTGCGATGAATAAGGAAAAACATCGTCGGTGCTTTGTTTTAACATTTTGGCTCTTAGACGAGATTGTTTTGGTTTTGAATTCATCACACTTGATTTCAAACCATTTAGTTAAAACTCTTTGACTTTACAAAGGGCATCTGTTTTTCAAAGTGTAGGCTAATGGCTGCAAACACGCAATATTAGAGATCATTTGGATATAGCAACAAAGTTGAAATGGTAAATTGGCCACCGTAACGATTACAAAAGCTGACGTTTCGAGCGTTAGTCCTTCGTCGGAGCGAATAGAGGAATTGTGGGTTGTATGTGCTTTTAAAGGCAGAAAATGAAGCTACGTTATTGGTGGGAACATGGCAACGAGAAAAACACGAATAAATTAGTGGAATGAAAAGCGTTCGTTGATCCCTGTGGGATTTAGAGATCCCTAAGTGAAGTATAATTAGACAGGTGCTGCCTCTGCGGCCTGATTTAGAGTGAACTCCATATGATAAGATACATTTTTCTCATAAAAAAAAAAGGATCGAAATGACATCTTCGCTCTATATTGAATTAACTGTAATGCACAACAGTTAGAATGTGCTTTCTTGTCAACAAAATGTATCGATGAACATGACAGCCACGCACCTTGCTAGATTCGACAATTTCACGTTATTTCCAAGAACTTTAAAGAAATAAATGATTTTGAAAATCATTTATTTCTTTAAAGTTTTTTTCCCCTCACCTTTTCTTTTCAGCCTTTTTAGAGTTGAAACCTGACAAGAGGAGTTCCTTAGTCCTTTTCTCAAAAATGCCATCTACTGATGCTCGAGATACTGTAATGACACTATGTTTTCCCAAAGTATGCTAAAAAACTAACACTCAAAGATTCATGTTTTTAAATAAATCTGTGATAACGGCAAAGACCTACTATAATCTTGCTTTTCCTCAGAATTTGTCACTCAATATCTTGCCAACTTCCTTGAGCTAGCAGCAAACAACAGCAATCAACTTCTAAACTTATTCCTAAAATGAAGCGATTTAAAAATTAACCGGCAGTCCACGAAAATTTCTTTTGTTTAACATTTAGCATGATTTAAAGCACTCGATGTCAACATCTAATTGTGACGAAACCACGGCACGTACTCGAAGTCAGTTTACGAAACGTGAAATTAGCTAAGTTTGGACTAGGGGTACTGGCAAGTACTGACTACTTAAAAAAAGTACTTTTATTCTTTCCTTCGCCAGTTTTCACTATTCATTTACCCCTTTTTTTAGCTGAGGTAAACGCATCTGCCTCAGATAAATTAATCACATGCAAATATCAGTGCGTCAGTGGTTCGAGGGAAGGATTAGTTATTATTGGCAGTGAAAATTGCATTAAGATACACTCTTATCAGGAGCTTATAGCATGCTTCAGCTTTAACTCAGTAACCATTACCCTATTTCAGCACGTAGCTTGCAGAGCAAGATATTTATTTGAACAAGTGACCTGGCTTTCGGTAAGAAATATCAGTTTCCGTGCACATTAGAACCCCGCTAACTCGAATCCGGTTAACTCGAGCCCCCCCGCTAACTCGAACTAATTTTACTCTTCCTTGGCTCAAATTTACCCCGATACCTCGAGCTTTTCGTAAAACGACGGTCCACTGATAAACATCAAAATGTCAGAACATAGCTGATTGACACGTCCCAACCTCTAATCGCGATTGACACGAACGTGAGAACATTTATGAAAACGCAATATATTTACTTTAACTTCCCAAACTAAACATTCTTATAAAAGAAAAAAGAAACAAATAGCTCTCGTAACACGAGAGAAAATGACTATTGATTGCGCAAGAAAGGTTAAAACACGATTCCTTATTAATTATTAACAGATACTTGATATTCAACATCATTACCGATCACTCAAATCCCCGAACCATTTTTATTTTGCCTTGGGAGTTCGAGTTAACAGGGATCTATTGTATTTGACCTCATGATCTACCCCACCCACCCTTCTGGCCCTGCTTTTGTGTAGACGCTCCACGCTGCTTCAGGGCTTTCTCTTGATCCGTTGTTTCACGTAGAGAGTAATAATTTCTAAATCCTTCAATTGTTTAAACATTTTCCATACCATCTTAATCTCCTGTTAGCACGTTGCATCTCACTACTTTAAGAATAATGATAAGTCACACTTTTTCTCTTCCGGCCAAAAAAATAAAAAATTTCATTGGCTTCTCAATATCAGTAACACGAACGAGAAACGGAGAGGCTAATTACATCTCTCTTTTAAAAAATTAATTTGTAAGCAAGGGTTTAAAGCCCAGTTGATTGTTAGATGCACAAGTACTCTCCCCATCTCCTCTAGAATGAACGCGGCCATACTGCATAATCATAACAAGAATCCTCGCAATGCTCCTAAATTCCAGTGATACAGAGGTGTTGGTCTCCGTTGAGAGACACACCTAGCAGCGGTGAATTTCGTTTTAGCGCCACTGAAGATGATAGAGATACAATAACAGAACGGCGCGGCAATACTCCTTTTTACAGTTGTGGGCTTGGTGGCCAAGCCTTTGAACAGGAGTGAGGTTTAGGGTGACCTTGTTATGATAGAGATGTTGCTGCTTTTCAAATGCAAATTACTTTGTTATCATGCTAACTAGATACAGGTCTCTACCACAACAGGGTCACCCTTAGCCTCACTCCTGTTCAAAGGCTTGGCCACCAAGCCCACAACTGTAAAAGGGACTATTAGTAGTCCCCGAGTAGCTGAGGCTCAGAAACCTTAGAAACGGATCCAGCGCTCTGTTCACTTCTTTTTTTGTTTACATTAACTCGCATTTTTAATTCTTGGCGATTAAACAACATAACTCTAATCATAGAAACCATTTAGCGCAGAGAGAGATCATAATTTCAGAGAGCTTTAGAAAGTAACGTTTGCTGCGTAAGTAAATTGCCTGCTTCTGATGAACAAACTTAGCCACTTGGCAAAATATCACAGAGTAAATATATATTGCACCACTTTGTTTGCTTGCTGTTGTCATGGTGAATAGCAAGCAAACAAATTAAAAAAAAAAAACAAAACGAAACACGTCTTTATCAGCCTAAAATGAATCTGAAAGTTAGATTAAACATCTAATCAGTCATGACCGGCCAATTCGAAAAAAGAGCCGTTAAATAGAGGCAATGGAGGGTGATTCATAGTCTTGGACGATCATAATGAAGACAAATGGACTTCACGTCAAATGTTGACATTCGATCACTAAAAGTATGAAATTTTTTCTCCGATGAAAGGATTAACGATTATCTCTCCGACATGAGCAAAATTCAGTCAGAGCAATTATTTCGAAGCAGAATTTCCTCAAGAATGATAACACGAAAAAATTTTTTAACTTAAAGGACATTAATTTTCATCTAGTAAAATTGTGCTGGGTTTATCAATAATCTAGATTGATGATCTTTTCTGTCATACTTCAGATTTTTGATATTCTTCATTTTACGAGAGAGTACAATATAAAATCAGATCAAAGCAAAGAAAACAAATGCCTTACATTTTTAGCTTTGCGGCCGAGAAAACGAACCGTATCCTTTTTCCTTATGTTTTTTTCTCGAGCATTTTAAATAGCTGTGCTTTTAAGCTCAAGAGATAGTCTAGGTGATCTTTTTAAATGCTGTATGGTCATATGATAATAACTATAAGCATTGCGTAGAAAATTTTTTTTTACTGGAGAACTGAAAAAGAAACAACAACAACAATAAACAAACTCAATAAGGATTTTAATTTGTCAAACTAAAACGATACAGTTCTTGTCGCAAACGCATCTGTGTAAGATTCGATCTCAAACAGCTTTGAGAAAAAAAAATATATTGAACCAACTTCGGTCATTCCGGTATTTTACGTATCAATTGAAAAACGGTATAATTTGCTTTACAGCAAAAGTTCTCAAATAACAAAAGTCCTAGTTGTGCCGAACTCTGGTAGAACATTTCAATATCAAATACATTTAATCTTGTTTTGACAATCGGCCATGCGCTAACAGCTACTAGATATGGGCCTGCATGGTGCAAAAAAAAATTATTTTTACCTAGTTCACCACCCAGAACTTCGTTGCAATGACCCAAACTATAGAGAACAATTACAAACGTTCGAGCTTAGCAAAAATTTCTAAGAAAGGTGCCGGCCATAAACGAAATACTTTTATATAAGCAGTAGGTACGGACAACAGTTTTGATAAAAGTTTCAACCACATCAGAGCATCTTCAATGCAAGAGCTAGCTCATCACGTGATTGAATAATAAATAAACAACTTACTTCTCGCTCGGCTTAATCTGGTGACAACTAGAAGGGTGGTGCACACTTCTACAGAAACCTTAAATTTGCAAAATGCACCTACACAGCTCCGCTCGCTTCACCTGCGACTCTCGGTGCGAATCTGGGTGTTAACACTCGGGATTTTAAATTATAGCTTCCTTACCAATATTGACAGAGGAATCGCGTTGTCGAATCACAAACGAGAAGGATAATATTTCCACACTTTAAAAATCTTATATTAATCTGGGATCATCGCTTGGGATTATGCAGAGTACGTGAAGGATTTTGGATTCCATAAGAGATAAGAGAGATTCCTTAGCACGAAATTAGAAGACTTGTGAAAACGTGGTCTTGTAGATTTATCTTTGAGTATGCTCGTTAAATTTTCAAATACCTTACATTTACCTTAACGTGGATCCCAAAATAATTCTCCACAAAGAAAACTGCTTAGAAATCTCCCCACATATGTGTTTTTTTCATGTTCAATTCAATAAACTACTTTTTCAGTCTAGACGGGAGGCATTACGAGGCTAGATTTAGTAAACCAATCTTTATGTAAAAAATATTAATGTTTCAAATTCTCCCCTGTTGTCTAAAACGCTGTCCTTTTCAAGGAGATCGATGCCATTATTGTCAGTGTAACCACGCTCGCTGAGGTAGCTCAAAATGGTCTCCGCGTCATGCTGAAAACTGATTGTTTGGATATGGATCAATATCGCTTGCTTCCTTGTATTGATATCACAATAATCCAATCATTGCTTAACAGGTAATAATTTTTTAAAATACTGAAATCATTATAACAAAAGTGAAATATCACAAACTATATTAGAATAGCCTCTATCTGGCGCGAAAAAATGCACCGATATTTGTCCGGGGACATTATCTCTTCCAAGATGCGAACAGTTTTCCAAGAACGAAGCTCGAAGAAAACTCTGAGCTTCGAGGGACGGATAATGTTCAAGAACAAAGATGCGAGCATATTTTTGCGCAAAAGCGAGGCTGTAGTTTTTATTATCCTTTAGATATTTTGCATCTCGCGTGAAAAAATGTTTACGAACAGCTTCCTGTTTGCTGCGTGGGATGCTTTCTTTGAAGTGTTTTCATGTACGACTTTATGAACAAACAAATATTTCCCTACTTCTATAGTAACCACAAAACGTTATCTCGTCTTAATCAAAATCGTAAACGAAGACTTTTTGTAAAGGAAGTTAGATTTGAAAATTGGAGAACATCACTCAGATAACATCCACGGATATCACCCAGTTTTAGCTAAGGAATATTTAGTCACGTGATCCGTTAAGACCACTCGCGCGCGAGCTAAAATATTTGATGGATTATGAAATGTACTATCCGAACTCTAACTTACTTCTTGACCGCAAAATTCGTTCAATCAAAAGCATTTCCAACACTGATCCAATTCAGTTTAGGAAGTTAGCGTAGATAGTGAAGTCAGTTATGTCGGTCTTAAATACTCACCCATCATAGACTAACAATGGCTATTTGCGGATATAGATAAGTCTCGGAATGAGTAAATAAAAAAGTTTGAAAGGTCATCCCAGTCGTTTTCTTGGGATGTCACGCAACACTACCAAAGAACGACTGCAATGTCACCAATGTCACCATAGCAAAGTCACCATCTCTTGGAGACACTCGTTTATAAGTATATGCGCTTGTAACTTGAAAACCAGCCTGGCACGTCTCGTTATTTATCGGCGAATTGCGATCAGTGCATCGAGATTTGTCTTGCCATGATTCGTCTTGTTATGATATGAAGGTTCAGAGCTATCATAAAACTGCTTATAATAAAATTGATAATTCCTTTTGCACAAATTTATTCTCTTTCTTAGAATTCCGAACGACTTGATTAGCCAAGCTATATTTGAAGGGATGCATCCTCAAATTTTCGTTGACAAAAACACGACACTTTCAGAAATAAAAAAATAAAAAAAAGAAGAAATAAAAGTGTGGTGTTTTTGTTCTGCGGGTCAACTGAGATGGTCGAGTAAATGACTGACCACCCCAAACATGCACCTTAACGTTCCGGATTTTTTTACTTATTTTGCTTTACTTGCTACTAACACAACTAGACAACATATGTGGCTTCGCCTCCCAAATTGCAATAATAAAATAGGAGGCAGTGGCCACAAATAAAGGAAAGGCATTTTAGACTAACTTTTTTCGTCTCCTGTTAAGTATACTAACAGCCGTATTCGAAAACGACGGGTCATTGAAATGATTGTAATTAATTGGACATATTCTGGGGCGCAAGTTTCTGGCATAGAACGAATGGCTTCTAGTCAAATGTCAATTCTATTCGTGATTATGGCGAAGGTTAGCCTGTCACATGCTGACATAGAGCAGCTGGAGACCGCAATGCCCGGGTAAGTCGATATTTGGAAAGTCAAGCTGTCTTGATCCAGAAATAACAAAAAGTGACGTGTGTCTACTAAACTCTTTCCCGGCAAGAATTCTTTTTTGGTTCATCGAACCTCACCATTTTGTACCTAATTTGTTAGTAAGCAGAAAGAGCATTGGAAGATGTGGAGATAGTTGGGCAATCTGTAAATTAGTACCGTTAATATTATGTCGCTTCGCAGTGGATAGCTTTTTTATGACTATTCACATTTTACAAAATCAAAGCCACTGCCACATAAGATCGGAATGATATTTGAAACCAAACGGTTCTTTTAATCAATTTTGTTTTGTTCTATAATTGCCTGTGAGGTTGTGTCAGTATAAGTAGATCAAAGTTGGTCAGGAGGGGAGAAAAAGGAAAGTATTCAAAAAGATCAGTCGTTTCTAGGGTTTTAAATATTCCTTGCACTTATTGCAAAAAGATTTACATCGGCGAAACAGGCAGAAGACTAGGTGACCGATTCCGAGAACACCTTCGCGACGTGGAGAGGAATGACAAGGACACATCGAAACCAGTCGCTAGACATTTTAATTTACCTAATCATTCTACGCAACATATGGCAATCTGCGGTCTTTCCTTACGCTTAGGTAGTACGGAAAGCCGTAAAACTCTTGAACAAAAGCTCATCTTTCAAACCGGCAGTCTAAATCCCACAGGGATCAACGAACGCTTTTCATTCCACTAATTTATTCGTGTTTTTCTCGTTGCCATGTTCCCACCAATAACGTAGCTCCATTTTCTGCCTTTAAAAGCACACACAACCCACAATTCCTCTATTCGCTCCAACGAAGGGCTAACGCTCGAAACGTCAGCTTTTATAATCGTAACGGTGGCCAATTTACCATTTCAACTTTGTTGATATATTCAAATTATTTTAAATATTCCATTATGTTATGATCGCGTCACAAAACTTAAACTGAGATGCACGTATTTCCAACATAATGATGATAATAACAATAGCCATATTGAAATTTTTCTAGAGTGTAGCTACATGATCTTAGCGGGCTTTACAGATATACGGGATTGAAAGAAATGTATATTTTTACATTCGATGTTTTTCTTGTCGTTGTTGAATTTCAGTGAGATGTATCACCAAACAGAAGCCTTTACTTCTAAAAAAAATCCAGTCGTGAAAACAATCTAGCTGTGAACACTCGTTCGTGAAACTTTCTCAGCTTTAAAGCGAAATTGCAAGAGTTTTTACTTAAATAATCACTGAATTGGCCAAGCCGCACATTCGCAGCACTTTTTCTTTACTTAATTTATTATTGTAAGTGAGGTGGCTCTCCCATAAGCCTGGTGACTTTTTGGGTCTCCTCACCTTCTAACTGTTATCGCTGTAATTAACTATTTTTTAATTGTTAAAATAAGGCAAATAAAGATGATGATGATGAATGACACTTAATGGCCACAGGGAACCTTCACTTTCATTGAAGTTTGGTTTGTTTAAATCGGTAGACTGCTTGCATAATTGACATCTCTGCGTGAATCTTTCACTCGCCTCTTTATTACAGTGTTTATACTGCAGCTTTAGTAATTTGTACACGTCTTACCGTCTCTATGAAAATCACATATTACATTTACAAAGATTAATTCTGATCGAGCTAAAATGAAAGTGTCCCTAGTGAGACTTGATTTGGTTTTCATGAAAGTACGCCAACACGTATACAAAGTTTTAAAAACAACGTTATCACTTCCTTTTCAACTGCGCAGGAGTTAGGCTGCTTGCTACTACCTTTCTTATTTTTTCTTCCTTTTTCAGACAAGATTATGGGTTTGGATAGCTTCAACTGCTCGATATGAAAACGGTTATAATGCTTCAAGAAAACATTGCGTCGTCTAAATATGAATCTGCCTCTACCTTTGAAGTCTCTTTCCTATAATGACAAGCATTTCGAGAGAGGTGACTTTTGTCTTCCACTATTTCCGTCACGTTATAAAGGGCTACATTTGTTAATCAGCTATGATGTTAGAAATGTAGTCCATTTTTAGTCTGTGTGCTATGAAGCTCGAGGAGAGAAAGAAAAAGAAAAAAAAATCGAAAATACAAATTGCAAACTCTAATCGTTAAACGTAAGCCATATGGGAATCGAATCACGAAAATGAAACGAGTTTTTCAAATCAATTGTCTCCTCTAATATACTTTACTTTATGTGTCTGCGTACTTCGTCATTCCCTTACCTTCACTATGCTCAAATTTACCAAGTTACCCACATGGTTCCAACATTTTCAGCGCAAATAGGCGATAATCTTCGCATCTACTGGTAAAATGGGGTTGAAAAAGCCCATTGAAATGACAATAAATTGTACGCAGATGTTAATAAAAATTCGATTAATGCTTGCGGCAATAATGAATGATGAATGTTAAACCTACTAAACCAGTTGCATATTGGACGCGTTGTGCGCAGCTACATATAATTGTGGCTTAGCAAGCTTAACAATAGAGACATGAGGGAAAATAGAGTCCTTTGTGATCTGTTACCATGATGACTCCTTAATTTGGTTACATTCTCCACCAGGAAAGAAAGAAAAATATAAAGAAACAGGATTGTTATGACCTTGTTATCGATAAAATTTGACAAGCTCGGGAAATCAAGATGTAACCGGAGCGACGAGCTAAATTGAAACTGGTTTTGTCTTCTGAATAATGAATGAAATTAGAAGTTTCTGTGTATTGAATTCTCCCCAAAACGAATAAAATTCATGGGGTGATATTTGGTACAACTGGTTGCGTTTCCCTCGACAAAGAGACTGTGGCAAGACATATAAGTTTGAAAATTAAGAATCTTGTGAATTTCTGAGGTGTCGTCTGCAAAATAGTAAAGGGTATTCCTTGGAACAGAAACCTAAAGATAGCTTTTACCACCTTTCGTCTCGAAATGGAACATGAGGCTGCCATAGTTTTTTTCTGACAAATAAAGGATTTAGAAAAGACGTAGTCTAACGGCTCTGGCATGATGAATAGAAATAAAGAAGAGTCCAAAACAAAGAAGAATATACCAATAAGCCAATCAGAAGGGGTTTTCTCTAAGGATTCCCCCAGAGCCGTTTTCGGTTGCCGTGGGCAAAAAATAAATGCTCTGCAGTTGCTCTGCGACTAAGGATTCGATTTTTTTTTTTTTTTTTAAAGCTGTCACCTTAATAGGTTGTTTTGTAAGTAGTTAAGGATACAAGATACTTTCAGGGCAATGAATTGTTCGAAAAATATTTTTTTGAAAGTATCTAGGTGTAATCTATCGAATTTCACTACTCTAGTAGATAAGAACATTATTTCTGGCGATTTAGGAAAAAATCAAATTCGGATCTAAGTAAACAAATCGTCGAAGGAAACTTTGGAGGCGCTTTTCTCCACTTTGAGTTTCGAGCCAATTAGCCAAACATTTTCGACTTTGTGGCCCACAGAATTAAACCGATTCCCCTGAAAATTGGCACGGAGTAAAATCAATAGTCCGGCAAAGAAAACAATAACGAGGCCAAATTTTGATTTTGAAACATTTTTGGAAATATGATGAGGAATGCAAGGGTCAGCAATAAAAGTTACATGCTCGAACTCGAAACGCCAATCGACAATCGGCCACGGGGTTTTTTACCACAATATCTCCCGACTGACTTCCCAAAGACTGCGTATAATCGACCGAAGACACATGAGTAATTTTCTCCTTCTGCTCAATTATCGTTTCTGCATTTCAATAGAAAAATTTAAAAAAATGTAATTTATCAAATTCTGTAGTTTGTAAGCTTTAAAATGATACACAGTTTAATGGGATTAACTTAAAGCACTGGCTTTAAAAATGATTTTCTGTGACCCACCCGTGAAAGTATCTTGTAACCTTAAGTGGGGATAAACTGCTAAGAGAAACGAAAAATCCTTAGGATTTGAAAAAAGTAAACATGAAGGGCCGGTTATGTAAACGAGGTCCAACCCAAATCGTAGTTTTATCCGGGCCAAGAAAATTTCCTCCGACTGTTAGCTTTGGGCTCTCTTGACACTGTTCACAAATATAAATGTTCAGATTAAAGGTTCAGCCAAAGGGAAGATAGTTTAGAACGCGGTTTTGTAAAACAACGGCTAAACTTTGTTTAAGTAACTGGCCCAAAATGTCTTTTTTTATCGTCAGAATATCAATGGCATCTCTTGGAATAAAAATAGTTAGTTTTAGTAGATGCTTCGTACTTCAAAGGACATCGACACTTGAATGAAGAGTTTACGAGGATAATAATTTATAATAATAATAATTTATTATTTATATAGCACATGGTCCATAGGAAGATGCTCCCAAGCGCTTTACAACGTGCAAGTAACCCACCATCCCACCCCGGGGAGGACATCCACCACAAAGTAATCTCATGCGTGGAAATTAACGTCTCCTGCCCCTAACCCTGCAGGAGACGGGACCTACGGTTTTATTCGTCCTTATCCGGGAAGATAAGAATATCTATCCATTTATTGATATTATAGAAAGGTAGCAAATTCTCCTCAGTTATTTTAAGACCATGAGTATTGGTCCGGCCGGGGCTCGAACCCTCGACCTCCCGCACAACATAATCCGGCGCTGTAACCAATTGAGCTAACCAGGAGGCGTGATCTTAAAGAGTGTTATCGCTTCGCTGGCATGTATAAACAATCTAACCTGATGCGATAAAAACCTTGCGGCTCCACCTGGTTAACAACTCTCAATTGCTTTGCTGCGGTCACCGAAGGACAGCCTGAAAATCAACGATTTCTTGCAAATGGTTGCACGGTAAACAATAACCTGTTCCCGATTGTCAATATGTGGACAAGAGCGAAAAAAAGGGGCAAGCAGAAGACAAAACGAGGGGGAGGGGGTGCGCCTGCTCGTTGGTCTCCACTGACAAAGGGTCTGACACACGCCAGGTAAACAAATAGACTCATGCACCTCGTTGATTTTTTGTCCCTTCAGAAGTCATGTGACAGTTCCCAAGATGTTCTTTTCTTTGTAAATTGGTACTCTTGATTTCCATAATGAGAAAGCATCAAACATAAGTGGATTTCCAGTGATCTGTATTGGGGGCATTTAGCATACGACACAAAAAAGGCGCCCACTGGGCTCGTCAGTAAACCCCCGTGTAACTTTTATTACATGTTCAAAGTTTTGTTTTACAAATTAGAATATACATTAATTTAGATATGAGATATCAGCTTGTCTATGGTAGATTGACCTATCTTTAATTTAGTTGTCATTCATCGTCTAAAAGGGTAGAGCCATGTGAGTTAAACTTTAAAAAAAACATGATTATCATTCTCATCATTTTTTAGAAACTTTATTGCTATGATTATCATTATTATTATTTTTATTATAATCATTGGATCAAAGTTAGTTGCCGCTGCTGTAGAAGTAAGTCTTATTATTACTGTTATGGCTCATTCAGCGTCGTGATAAAGCGTCGTGGATCATTTTAAATAGTTTAAGGTGGTTCACCATGATGGTGGACTTCAAGTCAAGTGACAATGTTCGATTTACTGGTTTAGTTTTACACTTCTTTTCGTTTCATTATTATGATTTATCTTTATTTTTTATCTTGTGAAACTGTCCTCCGACAGAGCCATCACAGCCTCTTCGCAGAGAGATTTCTAAAATGGGTTTATTTAAAATACTTATACAGTTAATCTAACCAATGGTTCAAACGCATTTTTGACACAGTTCTCAAGCCCTGCTTTCTTCAGTTTTGTACTACACTAAGATAAAAGTTCAAACCATGTTACTTCTTACGTAGAGGCGTTACTTTTCTTTTAGTAGTTTCTCTTCCGAGAAACGTCACTGTCCCTCTCTTAGCTAAGCAGGCTTAAAAGTCCTTTGAATGATTCGGGAAACCAAGGAGATTTGGTCCTTCGACCAATTGTTTTTATATATGATGTTCATTTTCCTTGGAGTGTGATCTGACGCAGCTGATCAAACTGTTCATTTTTATCATTTTCTGTCCCCACATTTCCATCTTCATTCTCACTCAGAGCAATGTTCGCAAGACTGCTCTCTATTTTCTCAGGATCCTGCCCTTTAGACCCTTTGATCACTGTTTGCCTCGGTTCTGTACCGTTTGCGGCGTTGTCACTTTTCTCGTTCAGATGTTGATGGTGTTCGCCTTCATCGTTCTTGTCTTTGGTTTCTAAGCGTGTTTGCTCTTCGTTCACATTTTCAGTAACTGCGACCGGATGAGTGTCACTACTAGCATAGTTTACGTCGTTTGTTGTCTCACCTATTGGAACTGGTCCATTAGGACTCGTTACCTTCACGCTATCATCCTGCGCCGTTGAATTTTCGCCACTTACTCCCACGGAATCGTCCCTCGTGATCGCCGTAACATCTTTAGAATCGACCACTCTTTTTCCAAAAGTTTGACTCTGATTTGTATCTGAATCTTGAACAATCGATGCCTCTTCATTTCTCTTTCGTTTTTGTGGCCCATCGATTTCTTGGGAGGTTTCTTCTATGGTTTTCTCTTTGTTAACTTTCAGAGCCAGGATCTGTTCCATTCCCGAGCGTCGTCGGGGCTTTTCATCACCTGAATACCCACGGGTCTGCTTGTTTTCCTCGATGCGCACACTGCCAGGGAACGCCTGAGGTGAGCCAATTTTTCCAGTTGGTAACGAAGGCTGTTGTTCCACGCTAAGACAAAGATCTTTATCACTGTTCTGCTCTGTACTACTTCGTCTCTCTAAATTTTCATTTTCATCGCTCTCTTGAGATTGGTGTTCGGTGTTCTGGTTTGCACCTGTCTCGTCCCTTGATTCGCTTCTCATAATAACAGCAGACTTTGGGTATTCATTGGGGAGTGAATTTCGTGCATTCTTTTCCTCGATGGTGGAGTAGTCTTTAAGACATTCCACCAGGTTTTTACGCACTGCAATAAAGGAGACGATATAACCGTTACTTGACTGAAAACAGATTATAACCCCCGGAGCACTACAACGATATTTGTTTGCGAGGGGCGAGGCAAGGTGAAGGTAAGATTTCTACTCACGCGTCTTACTAGCCGATTTCGGGAGATGCATTATCAATTTCTTGTGACAAAACTACTTTCCGAGTTTAACTAGAGAATATCCGATTGAAAAGCTAGCTCAAAATAAATATCAGGCGGGTTTACGTTTTTGAAGAGTACAATACAACGATTGCTGTAACAAACGTGAAGACTGTAGTCAAAACCTGGTTTCTCTATGCTGGTAGAGGAGAGCGCGTTTCGATTGAGTATCTTAGAACCAGTTTTAAAAAAAATCGTGACAGCCAATAAGAGAAAAGTTGAATATCACAAGTGGCCTATAAAAAATTAAATCAAATCCTCGTAAACTCACTGGAAGCGTGGGAAAATGACAGAGGTGAGTGTGATTCAAATCACGATTAGTTTTTCTTTCTTGGTTTTTTTTTTCTCTAATTGACATTGATGCTGCATCAAAAACACAGCGCCACCGTTATTTGGTGCCTTCCTGTGATCAAATCAAGACTGGTTTTATCTGTAACTGGTTACGACGCTACTTTACATATAAAGAAACCCACCGTCATCCGGTGCCTCTTCCTTTAGATTTTCCAGTTCTAAGCAGTATGAAGGTCTTCTGCTTCCACAGGTCATTTCCTTCAGCATGCGAGCCCGCTCAACCTCCATCTCAGCCCGTAAAACAGCGGTCTGCTCTCTTTCCTGTGCCATGCGCTGTCGTCTATACGCAGCTTCTGCCCGCTGTTGGGCCGCCACTGTCACTTGGGACTGGGCGCGAGTTTCTGCCAAAGAGATGAGTGATTTTTGTCATGCAGAAGCTGGTTCTTGCCCAAATAAAAAATCAGCAGTAAGCTTTATAGCTTTTCTATAGCTATATCAAGTAAACGAGGTTTTTTTTTTTTTTTTTGAGTGCACACGAAATATTAATCAATAGATCATTTGGGTGTAGCTTAAAACTGCAAATAATTTAAATATTCATGGAAAGAAATCAGACGTATATCAAAGGTTCGTATGCAGGGCATATTGGGTAAACGCTGCGTTAACGCAGGATATCGAAAGAGATAATGGATTGCATGTCAAAAGCGTGAGATCAGAAATGATGATAATTTGCATCCAGTCCAGTCCTAAAAAATTCCAAGCTGTACAAAGATAAAACGCAGTAGCGTAATAAAATTAGTACTTTTTACTTGTACTTCGCATTTTTGTTCGAAATCGAGCAACGATGAGGAGATTACTTGCTAAATTAAAGTAGTCAATATAAGGCAACTGCTTCCCATATATTCAATGATAAAGAAGCAGATTTGTAAATGACATAATCTTAACAATTATCAATTATCGGTTGCGACGAATATCAAGCGGCTCGTGGCAATCAGTTTGGTGGCGTACGCCGTGAACATAATTAGAAAACAAATTGAAAAAACAATTAACTGAAGCACCTTCTCAAATTACTTGAATAATGACATGGTCGAACTACCTGTTGCAAAAACGTATTCCGCCCTCGGGGATATACTGGTAATAGAGATTTTATGACAGGAATTCACTGAGTAGGGAATTAATATTGGGGGAAACGTAGCAAATTTTTATGTCACACACACAAAAAAAACAGTGTTGGCTTGGCATTCAGTTCTACTAACATTAAGCCAACGTAAAATGTCCGTTGTTGTGCCGCTAATATCAAGTGCAATCAAAGTTACCCGAAGATTCAGGGACACAATAACTGCTAAGGCAGCCGTTAACTTGAACTCTGAATAAAGCCTTCTGAATAATCTAGTGTACTCACCCCCATCCTGAGAGTAAGTTCGACCTAAAGAAGATACCACGCTGGACTTTCCAGAGCTGCGCGTGAGAGGATGTGCCACACCACCTAAATCACTGTCATGACAGAAAGAGCTGGTGAACGCCCTTTTGATCGGGGATGAGGTGGTCCCTGGCACGATTAACGGCTGGAAAATTGTCATAGTAACGTCATCACTAACTCTGACAGCGAGGGGCTTTTCAAACAGGTCGTTCACGAAAGAGCCACCGCTGACAATAACATTCTGCCCTGATTGTGGGGTAACGATTTGCTTAGGATTTAACAAAGGTCGATCAGTTGATCTGACACCGGCGCGGCGTTTTACTCGATGTTTTCGCTGACCGGTTGATGATGAACGTATGGCTTTTGCTATACGCCCCGAAGAGATGCGACTGCTTTTCGGCCGAGCACCAAAAGTAAATTGTGTGGTTCTCACAAACCTCGAAGTGTGGAGCAGTCGCATCCGAGAGTATGACTTCGGCAGATGAAGAGCTAGTAAATCTTGCAGCCTCAACACCTTGGCAGATGATTGGGATAACTCTGCAAGACAAAGGGTGTTTACCGGCTGCTGGCGAAGGTACGCCATAAGGACAACAAAATAAACAGCAAAACTAAGCAAGGTTCTTGACGTTCCACTAAAGATAAAATTCACTGCACCAGTGGGTCGCTGAACTAACGCCCTTACTACTGTTCACTTGCTTATAAATCGATGAACGCAGTACTGATACCCCCGAATCTGTCCAATGAGAAAAGCCAAACTCCAGAACAGACAGCTACTTAATTCCGCCTTTAACGTAAATGATGAGGTTACATGACTGTCTCAACCGCTTGCTTAGTATCGCAACGTACAGATAAGAGGATTCAGTCTAGGCTTCCGGGAGCCGAAAAAAAGACTTTCTTCAGTTGAAAAATTTTGTTATTCTTGTTTTTGGTAAATATTTTTTTTAATGTGGTGAGTAATTCAATCCTGACGAAAGTCTTTGTGATGCTAAAGAAGACATTAGAGGATCTAATACTCACTATTTCGAAATCATCAGCCATTTGATCATGATTGATTAAAGGTTTTATCCCGCTAATTGTGCGATCAGATAACACATGTACAGAGGTACTCCAACACCATTAAAGCACAAACGCACGAACCGGGACACTTGAATCTACTAGACAATACAGCGTCAAGAGGTTTTTATACTGATGTAACTTGATGTTATGGCATGAAAATAATCCTGAGTGTAATGAATATTTTTGGTATGAAGAATTTTATAAGTAATTTGGTCTTATACAGAGGTTAGGTTCTGCGGCAGATCTAGACTCTTTCGTGGTTTGGCAAAGAGCCGTGTTTTAAAGCTCTATCTCAGAGGACTACGAGAGCGCCCAATCGCTTATAATGAAACCCAAAGAACAATTGCACAGACATGTACAAATGCAAGTAATCACGATTTTAGAGCACTATCTCTGAGGACTACGAGGGCTCTCAACCGTTCGTAATGAAACCCAAAGAACAATCGCACAGACATGTAAAAATGCAATTTCAGATCACTTCAGATACAAGGCGAGTCGAGTACAGTTCTTAAAACTGCCTCGCATAATTTAAGCTGGTCTAAAATACACCAGTTAGATATTCAATCATTTACATGGGTATAGAATACATGCTTAAAACTGTGAAATAGGACCAGGAAATTGACTGAATGGAACAGCTGGGAATGTTTCTGCATTAGTGGGAATGGGGGTAAAAAGTATAAGGGTATTGTCAATGATTTAAAAAGTCGATTTTTCGGAGTGCTTTTGGCAAGGCGAATAACTCTTCTTTTTTTAATTCAAAAGTAGAGATTGACAAGTTATACGAAACGAGGAACGACGATATCTAACAACGACATTATTTATTTGGCTCTAATATAGAGGCTGAAGCTGCTGAAAGTAGACAAAATCAATTAAATTTAAGCACCAACTTAAATCCATTTACAGTTATTTGGTGCAGTATGATTTTGATGCAAAACCATTTTCAAGGTTATGTTCTGGTATTGATAAGGGTCGAAAATATTGCAACAAGTAACATGGGTCGACACGTGCCTTGCTTTTATCTTCTCTTTTATCATTTCATGATTAAAAAAAAAGAAACAAGACCCTTTGGTGTTAATGATTCAGAATACTTCTGCAGAGGTGAGGAGTCATCACTTCACTGAAATTCGTAGGAGTTGTTCCTTTGCTTCATTGCCATTTTCCAAGGAAAGAATTTTCACAAGTTCTAAATTTGATTCGCCTCACCTATAGTTTACAAAACTTTTAGCCGATCGCCTTAAGGGGACGCTTGTTCGATTCCTAGCATAGCTTGCAGTTTACCTCAAATAATTACCAACGTTAAACACAATATCCGAATACTCAGTCAGATTAACTGATTATCGTTGCAAATAATTATCGTTGCAAATAATTATCGTTGCAAATAATGCGTTTCAAATTCTTAATCTTTCTCATGAACTAATTTCCAGGCTAAAGGAGGTAAATTTGTTAGGGTGAGTGGCTACAATTAACATTGAATTTCTTGCAGGTGTAAGGACCATAAAACGTTATACCATTAGAGCTTATTCCCTTTGACGCAAAGAGTGTCTATATGCCGCCCACTTCAGTTACAGGGTTGTTTGAACAAAGCTCTTCGGGAAAAGCTGGGTTGTAATGTCGGCTTGAAAAGTGAACTGAGCTCTGATGCTAGAGCCGGGCGCCGGAAACGAGGTTCCAGATTTGCGCCAGACTACCGATAACTCTTGCACTTATTGCAAAAAGATATACAAAGGCGACATAGGAAGACGACTAGGTGACCGATTCTGAGAACACCTTCGCGACGTAGAAAGGAATGACAAGGACGCATCAAAACCAGTCGCTAGACACTTTAATCTACCTAATCATTCTAAGCAGTATATGGCAATCTGCGGTCTTTCCCTACATTTAGGTAGCTCGGAAAGCTGCAAAACTCTTGAACAAAAGTTTATCTTTCAAATCGGCACTCTTAACTCCATAGATATCAACGAACGCTTTTCATTCTACTAATTTAATCTTGTTTTTCTCGTCACCATGTTCCCACCAATAGCGTAGCTCCTCTTTCTGCATGTCAACGCACACGCAACCCACAATTCCTCCATTCGCTCTGACGAAGGGCTAAAGCTTGAAACGTCAGCTTTTTAACTCTTTACGGTAGCGAATTTACAATTTCAACTTAGTTGATATAACCAAATGACCTTGTTACCCCCACCGACGCAGCACCACAGTTTCTTTAGAAACTTACCCCCTTTACTCTCACAATGCCTCTCTCCACTCAGGGGTATAATTGGGTACCGGGGGTAACAAATAACCTTGTTACCCCCACCGACGCAGCACCACAGTTTCTTTAGAAACTTACCCCCTTTACTCTCACAATGCCTCTCTCCACTCAGGGGTATAATTGGGTACCGGGGGTAACAAATAACCTTGTTACCCCCACCGACGCAGCACCACAGTTTCTTTAGAAACTTACCCCCTTTACTCTCACAATGCCTCTCTCCACTCAGGGGTATAATTGGGTACCGGGGGTAACAAATAACCTTGTTACCCCCACC